CGGCCCCCCCTCCTCCTGAAGAAGAACGGGGGGGGTCTCCTCCTCCTCGGTGGCGGGGGTGGGATTACCTTCCCCCCCCCCTCGCCCTCAGTTTGGGGGAGCCCCTGAGTAGGGGGAAGGGCCGGGGGGGGGGCCGCAGTCCCTGTCCCCCCCACTTGACGAAACGGGGGTCGAAACCGGCGGAATCGGCGACGATTTGGGGCATAACGACTGCCCCGCACCGGCCCGCCCCCGGGGCCCGTCACATTCGCTGCCTCCGGGCCCTGCGGGGACAACGAGGGGATATTATAAGGGGGGGTGACACACAAATTTGCCCCCCCCCCCCCCAAATACCCTGCTCCTGCCACCCCAAATCACCTTCTCGCCCTCCACCACGTCAAACTCGACGGTCTCGCCATCCCCCAGGCTGCGCAGGAACTTGCGGGGGTTGTTTTTCTTGATGGCTGTCTGGAGATTATTTTTTGGGGGACGCCCCCCAAATTATTTAGGGGGGTGTGGGGAGGTCGGGGGGGTTACAGCCCCCCACACTCCCCTTTTGTTACAGCATGGGCTGGGGTTTGGGGGGGTTTACCTGGTGAACGAAGACGTCCTCCTGCGTGTCGTTCCTGGGGAGCCCCCCCACCAAAAAAAGGGGTTCAGTGGGGGTGGGGGGGTTCGGGGGACCCCCCATCTCATATCCAGCCCCCCCACCTCCCCAAATCCCACCTGCTTTTGTGATGGAGCCCATAAGGATGAATCCCACACACACCATAGCAGGACCCCCCTGCCAAAATTCCCAGGGGGACCCCAACAAGTCCCCCTGCTAATTTTGTGGCCCTCCCCCCCGGTTTTACCTGTTAATGAAGCCATAGCCATTGCGGACATTGAACCATTTGACGGTGCCCAGAATGTGGGTAGCTGTAAGGGGAAGGTGGTGGTGGATATTTTGGGGTGAAACCCCCCCAAATTTAGGTATAGCCCCTCCCAAATCTCCCCCACCCACTTTAAGCCCCCAAGGGGGAGGAGATCCCCCCAAAGATGGCTCAAGCACCCCAACAGAGGGGGACCCCCAAAAAGAGGTGGGGGGCACACTGGACCCCCCCCCAGCTCTACGCCCCCCACCCAGAGGGGGAGGAGACTAAACAGCTGTCAGTCAAGAGTCCTGCTGGGGGGCCTTTGAGCCCCCCAGCTGTCAATCACCAGCCCCAGGGGGCTCCCAGAGCCCCTCAGAGCCCCCAGCTGTCAAACACCAGACCTGGGGGGGCTCCCAGGCCCCCCCACTATCAGTCAACGCTAGAGCCCCCCAGCTATCAACGCACAACCCCAGCGGGGGTCCCAGGGACCCCCATTGCCCATCACCAGCCCGGGGTGGAGAGAGGGACTCCTCAAGCCCCTCAGCATGCCCCTCCGCCCCCCATCCCAAC